TGAATCAAGCATTGCACCTGCCTTTCCTCTGAGGATGAGAGCTCAGGATAACCATAAATTGACAAGGGGAAGTCTCTCTTTTAGACATATTCCAATTAGTAATGATGAAAGAATGGCAGAAAGAATGAGAATGTCATCAGCTGGCAACCCCTAATGAATTAGCGGGTCACCTCCTCTAATAACCACCGATCCATGAACGTCAGAAGGGAAGGGGCCTCCGGATGGGGGCGCAGGGCATTGCCTTGGAAGCACTCTTCTAAACACGAAACCCTGAATCTGACTCAGCCTCTGGTTCTACAGGAAACTCAAGGGACAGAGGAACGTGTTAAGTAGCACCGCACAGATGTCGGCAGTGAAATCCAGAACGTGGGAGACTTTTAGGAGCAATAACACTTACTAAAAAAAACAAGTAAGTTGCAAAGAGAAAAATACAGAGCAGGAGAACCTGATGCTACATATTAACAATCGCAGTGTATGGATTTCCTTTGGATCCTGAATTGAAAACTGTATAAAAGCAGCAGACTACACCCTGCAGGCCAAATCCAGCCCAGCACTCGCTAACGCCCACCAGATAAGAATGCTTTGTTATAGAAAATTTAATTTAAGAAACCAAACAAAGAATATGTAACAGAGACCAATATGCAACAGAGACCCTAGGTAGCTCGAGAAGCTTAAAATGTTTACTATCTGGCCCTTTACAGGAAAGATTTGCCTTGTTCTAGAGCCACGGACTAAGTCATTAACCAAGAGAGGATGTGAGGTCTGGGATCTGCTTCTAGGTGGAGGTGTCGACAAAACCAGACCAGCCACGAGTGGACGACTGTGCGGGCTCTGGGACGGGCTTCATTACACGATTCTCTTCCTGGCAAATGTTGGAAATTTTTCATCCAAAAATTTAAAAACAGGCTGACTGATGAATAAAAAGAGATGGCTTATTTGAAATGTCAGTGTGGCAGACAGCTGGTTGCCCCACAATATCTGTTCTTCCTTATGAACAGAAGTTTAGCTGGGCATGTGTCCAAGTTCTGGCCAACAAAATCCAAGTGAAAGTCTCGTGAGGCCTGTAAGAAAGCATCCTTAGATGGAGAAGGCATCGCTTCCTACTCTTTCTTTCTCCTTGCTGGCTAGAATGCAGTCATGATGGATGGGGACTGAGCAGCCATTCTGGGCCATGAGGCACCATCCATGTGCTCAGGATGGCAGCAAAACGAGGGGAGAAGACCACGCCCTGACCAGTTTGTAAAAATGTCATACTAGCCTCACAGCCTATCTCTGGGCTTCCTATACGTGAAAGAGAAATAAAGTTCTCTATTTTAAAAGCCAGTTAAGCTTAATTCTAACTGATAGAATCAGGAAAACATTTCTTTCCAAATATTCTTGTTATGTAAAGTAAATCTTGGGTGGTGACGGAACTGCAGGGATTCCAGTTTCCCCCAAGGCTGCCGAGGTAAGGCTTTTTTTTTTTTTTTAATTAAAAAGCATGTGTGTGGGGGGCACAAGGTTGAATATTTCAAAGAAGTTCACTAGGCCAGAATGGAAACCTCTAGAAGGTCTGCGAAGAGGGCAGAGTCTGGGGAGATGGGTATAAAGCTGTACGTCTGACTGAGGTCAGAGGAAAAGCTGAAATTTAAATTGTAGAGTTAGGAAGAGTTGGGGTGCTGGTTTTGAAAGGACACACTGGGGTATCTGTGTGACCTTGAGGAGCTTGGTCCTCCAAGAGCCAGGCCCCGGGCTGGGGTGGTTCCTACAGAAATGGGAAAGTGAGGGCCTTGACATTCCTTCCTTGGAGAGTCACTGTGGCCTCTGAGCCTCGGGCTGCCGCCGGTAAAGCGCCTGGAGCGGACATAAGAGAGGTTTATCTTTTACCTGAGATTTGTAAAATGACATGGAAAAGAGCCATGATCACTGTCAAGTTGGTAAATGTCAGCTGTTCCAGAAACTACCATCGCTACGGTTAACAGCACGTACGCCCCATTTCCTGGGCACCCAGCACTTACCAGGTACTTCATATACCTTATCTTACTTAATCTTTCTTCAAATCTTCGGGGTATGTATTTAAAAACCTACTTGAAACTCAGAGAAATAACTTGCTCAAGGTTACAGAGCTAATAAGTGACATTTATATGGAGGTTTAAATAATAAATGGTACTACCCTTTCAGGGACAAAAAAAAAGCAACTGTTTTTAAAACTCTTCAATCCTTCAAAAAAAATTCCATTTAACTGAATGAGTTACTTGAAAATGGTGAGTCAGTTTAAAGGAACGTGCCAACATCTCTCCTCCAAGTGGGTGACGACATCCTCCTGAACCCACTTTATTTCTGCACAGCTCCGCCCCTCCCAGCTGACTGAGGCTCTGTCGCCTCACTAGGACCTGGGCTTAAAAGGTGTCCTAAGCCTGAAGGGGACACAAGAGGTTGGCAGCCAGCTGGCTTGGAGGTGGGAGCACATGAATCCCTCAGGCTGCCCGCGACTCCCCGCTCCCTGGGAGGCAGCGTGGGGTGATGCTGAGTGCATAGGGCCTGGGCTCAGGCGGGCCTGGGTGTGACTCTCCACCTTGCCACTGACTACTGGTCTGCCTGGGCCTCAGTTTCCCACCTGTGAAGGGGCCAGCGTACCTACCTTGAAGTCATATGAGCACTGAGGGGCAGTAAACGTTAGCTATGTCGCTGTCAGACCTCAGCAACGGATGCCAACACTGTATTCTTGACTGCCCTGTTGCCCTGACTGATTCCAACTATGAAAAGCTTCCAGTTACACAGGCCAATTCCTGCTCATCCTTCAGGCTTTAGCCTGTCTGCGTCCTTCCTGCGGAAGTGACTCTGACCATCCTGAAAAAAGAAGGTCACCTGTGCCATTTTTTTCTTCCCAGCACTAGTCCTAGTTAGAATCAGAATTACAAGTTTTCATTTGTTGTCCTTCCCCCCTTCAGACTGTAGGCTCCGTCAGGTCAGGGACGGCGAGTTTTGCTTATCACCATGTTCCCGATTCTATCACGATGCCTGGCACACAGGAGGTTCTTGATGAATGCTTCTCGGATAAATGAAACAAAACTAAATTTATAGCGCCTCACCCAGAGAATCTTTGTTCTGGCTAAATATTTGTAAAGCAATTGTGAAAACATTATTTGCCTTTCAGACACTAAAAGGCTCATAATCTATAGTTCCCAGCCCTCCCTCTCATCCTGGTCAATATGAAAATCTGAGGAATTTTTCTTTTAGCCGATACAGTGGAGCTTTCATAAATGAAAATCTACTCGGGAATGTCACACGGCTTTATGTATCTGCATTCTCTCTCTTCTATTTTGGACACTGTCACTTGTTTTGAACATCTCATCATAATCAATTCGGTGGAAGGAAACCTTAACAATGTCACCTGAAAAATTACAGTTTTCTATAATAGCATTTCCCGAAGCCTGGACAGGAAGAGCAAGGGGTGGGTGAGCCAGAGCCACACAGACTGCTGCTGAGGCGTGGCCCGGGTCGTGTCTCATTCTGCCCTGCTGACTTCAAGAGCCGCTGGGATAATGTATGTGCCTGAACTAACTCCACGATCTGGAATGTGACACAGGTTTGACGCAACAGCCACCCCAGGCTATACCCGTTAGTCTCACTAGCCAGAACAGATAACGTACGACATAATGACTTTTGGAAATGAAGAGAACCTGGGAGCTATCAGAAGAGATTTTGATGTTACCTTGTCAAGCTTCCCTCTAAATGAACTCAATAAAGTCCCCAGCAGACACAGTGGCCCTACATGGTGCTAGAGGTTGGGAGCTGCCAGCTTCTCCAGCCAACACAGTTCCTTCTATAGCAACTCGTAATGTTAAGCGATGCTTTCTTGGCCCTCCCTCTGAGACTTTTACCCTGAGGGGTCCTTGCTCTACTCTCCAGAGCTCCTGGCGAACATCAGTCCAAGGAGGCAGTTTTAAGGATTGGACAGCGTGGTTGAGTGGGGAAGAAATTATTTCTGACCTAGAGTAAGTACCTCAGCTAGAATTTAGGATTAAAGGTCTAGAAAAGAGGAGGACAGCCTTCCCGGGCCGAGAGAGCTATTCAGGCACGAGATGAAGAGCGAACAGCAGCGTGGCTGCGCAGGTGGACGGACAACGATCTACGAGCTTTGCACGCGTTAACCAGTAACCCTCCTACGACACTAGGATATACGGTACCATCATTATACCCAGTTTACAGGCGAGTTAGCTAAGGTACAGAGCACTTGAGTAAATTGCTCAAGTTCACGGACTAGTAAGTGGTAAACTTGGGATTCGAACCTAGCCGGAGCCCTGTTTCCACTACATGACACGGCCCCACGTGACGGCAGGGTCTCCGCCTTCCCACTGCTCACAGCCCAGGCCTGACCTCCAGGCCGTCACCCGAGTCCAGTCCCTGCATCCTGCCTTGCTCCTCGCCCACGACTTCTGTTCTCAACAGGTCCAGGCCCTCTGTGGCACCGCTTCCCCCTCAACTCGGATTCACGTTTTCTATGATGCCGTTTCTGACTTCCCTGGGAAGTAAATGCACAGACCACACCGGGGACTTCAAATATAGTTTCTTTTCTTTCTCATCTCAACTCGACTTTTCTACCAGGAATCTCGGAAGTTCTGAGAACATGAAAAGGTGGCAGCTGACATGCTGTGCGCTTTGCTAAGAGTCGATGCAAAAACACTTTCCGTTGTGCTTTGTCTGGCTGGCAGCATGCACAGCCCGCGCTCTACTGTGAGGACCGCTGAAGATTTACTCCAATGCTCGGTGAAGGCTGCTGCTCTGGCAGCTTTTCCGACCATCGGGATGAGTCCTCTGGAGGCTGGCACTGCTGTGAGAGCCATCTGCACCAGAGGGAGTGAAACAGCCACGGGACAGAGCGCGTACCAATGCCGGGGACGCCGGCCGACACTCGTTCTAATGCGTCAAGTTTAGGAACGAGTTCGTATGTGGCAAACACCCAGCAGGGAGGCCGCTCGGGGTCCCTGCCGAGGACGGCCTGGAACCTGCGCCCATACCTTCACTCCGTCCAGCACGGCCTTGATGACCCCCTTCACAGTTGTCACCATCTCTTTATCTTCCGAGTTCACACCTTCTAGCATCACTTGGTCAGACCAGCGAATGAGGTTGGCGAGACTCTGGTACACTCGGCTATAGCAGGAGGAGAGGGCTGAGCTGGAGGGAAGAGAGGGATTTTAAGAAGGACATTAGCAGTCTAAAGCATGACCGTCACAGGAAGATACCCGCTTGGCACAGAACCGGTTTCTCAGTGACCAGGGCGCGTTTCTCAGTCTTTCGTTCTGTGATACCCACGCCTCCTTCTGATAAACGAACCCATCTCTATACGTCCAATGAAAACGTGCAGAGTGTTATATTCTACTGTCAT